CACACCGTCACTGTCCCTCTGGCTCCAGCTGGAACAGAAGCGGGTGCCGATTTAACATCCCCATTTTCACTGGGGACCGAGCGCTCTGGCGCCACCTCGTGTGCACACACCGTCACTGTCCCTCTGGCTCCAGCTCGAACAGAAGCGGGCGCCAATTTAACATCCCCATTTTCACTGGGGACCGAGCGCTCTGGCTGCCAAAGGAATGCTCCCTCCTTGTCCACCGACCGATGGAAGCCGACTGGGGAGACCAGGAAGGAAGCCCCTCTTTGGGGGAAAACACAGAAGGAAAGTTCTGGCCTTGGAAACAGCCAGGAGGGGAGGGTGGGCAGCTCACTACAGCTTTGGAGGCCTGTGCGGCTCGCCCCAGAGGTGCCCGAGGTTCTGCTTCTGTGCCGGGAGGCGTGCGCAGGGGTGCCACAAAGACCAACAACGCCTCACACTGTGCGTGGAGCCCCACAATCCCAGGAGTACTGGAAATAGGGTTCAGTCCACAGGCACATACCATACTATGGTCATCCCAGCAGAGAGGGAAGAAATCCTTCCTATTCAAGTGGCTACTGACGTTTGGAATCCTTACAACATATATGCTTAACGTACAAAATACCGAACACGGGGCGCCTGCCTGGCTCAGTCCGTGAAGCATCCACCTTCCGCTCAGGTCATGATCTCAGGGTCCTGGGATCGGAGTCCCACATCGGGCTCCCTGCTCGGCAGAGAGTCTGCTTCTCCTTCTGCCTGACACTCACCCTGCTTGTGTTCTATCCCTCTTTCTATCTCAAATAAATAAAATCTTAAAAAAAAAAAAGATATGAAACACATTTAAAAATGAAGAAGCCACTAAGACAACAGAGGAAAGTAAGCCACCACCTAAATATAACCACAGGTAACCTGTGTGCATTTCCCCCCATCTGCTTCTAGACAATCTGGAGAATCCTGCAGACATAGCAGGTCCATTTCCTTCTGCAGCCCGCCTGGCTGTGCTTAATATTCCTTTCATATAACACTGAAAAACCACAGTATGGACTATGAATATTTTCCGGTACTTCAGATAAAGTTATTCACCCTAATGAGGGTTCCCCTGAAGCCTTTCCTACAAATTATACACCAGGATTAATAAAAATTTATGTTAATTTTTATTTTTTTATTTTTTTTTAGATAGAATTTTTTTTTTAAAAAAACTTTATTTTCATAGACTACATTTTCACATTAGAGATTCCTACAGTGGGAAAATAACAATTTATTACTTACAGTTTTATATTTGTAGACAGATTATTTTAGGACAAGTAAAATAAACACATTTGAGGATTAAGTCTTGGTTTAGAATCTACAATACTTTGATACATCTGTGAGGGGACCTGTTTCCTACATGGAACTTCTCTATACTCAGAAGCTCTCCAGGCTCTTCTTCCCAGGA